AGAGAGAGAGAGAGAGAGAGAGAGAGAGAGAGAGAGAGAGAGAGAGAGAGAGAGAGAGAGAGAGAGAGTTGTTGTCGTTTTCTTTTTTTAGTTGGACTCATGGGTTTTCATTTGTGTTTTGTGTTAATGCAGGTGCAGTAGCGATTCATCTGCGGCGCTGAAGGATCGGGGCGCATCAGGGTTGCGACGACTGTCCAAACCGCTGTTCTCGGCCCGCGACGAACGTTCGACGGGCGTTCGACGAACGTTCAACGGATGCTCAACAACGGTGAAATGACGGTTCAACGGGGGTTCAACGGGGGTTCAACGGGGGTTCAACGGGTTTCAACGGGGGTCGAACCAGGTGTTTGGGGCAGGGCCGTCTGTAGCACCGCTGGGGGGGGGGGTTGCTCAGCGGTTGCCGTGGTGGGTCGAGCGAGGGGAGTACCTTGATGCCGAACAGGCGTGGCTTTGAAGGGGGTCCGCGATGCCGTGACAACAGACGCGCAGTCATGAGCCTGCACCTGAAAATGTGAGCAGGATTTTAGGCGCAAGGGGGCTGTGTACCGTTACATCGTCGTCGGCCAGGCGCTCGACACCCGGGGGGGTGAGGATGCTACGGTGCACCTTCTGCAATAAGGTGTGGCAGGGAACCCAGTATTATGTAACAAAACACTTCACCCAGCCACAATATTGCCAGAAGGTGTCCGACGAAGCACTGTTTGACATTGCGCAGAAGTGCACACACCGCTTCGAGGCCGACGAGGCGGAGAGGGTCCGGCACTACGCACAGGAGCGTGGGCTACATGTCCTGCGGTCTGGAGCGATGGGTGGCGAGGCGGAGTGGAGTGGACAGGGCGTTGGCGGGGGAGAGGATACCATGCGTTGGTTCGAGGGTGGTGCTGTGAGAGATGGGGCGGGCGCCGATGTTGCGGAGGAGGGCGCGGCGGGAGTCGACCGCGAGCGTAGCATGGCAGAGGGTGAGCGGATGGCAACGGGAGAGAGGGCCGTGCCCAAGGTCGATCCGGTCACTTGTCAGAGGACGCGGGGCTGGGATCCTGTGGGGAAGAGGCCCGTCCCGCCCGAGATACCTAGCACGCCGAGTTCCTTCAGGACTCCTGTTCGTGATACTCCTGGTTCTTCCATAAGGAAGGACAGGGGTGCAGATCTTCCTGCGACGCAGGCTGGGAAGAGGCTGGGGCAGCAGAGGGTGACGGACACATATGGTGGCGAGTGGATCGGTCGTTGGAGGAAGGCATTCTTTCGCTGGGCGTACTCCAGCGGGGTTGCCTTCAATGCCTTTCGCAACACACCGTGGAGGGACCTCCATCAGGTCGCACTTCAGCATCCTGGTGGAGGACCTCTGCCCGTGCTTCCCTCCCACAGCGAGATCACGAGCATGCGAGCTGTGGAGATCCACCGCCAGGAGTTGGCGGAGGAATTGGAGGAGGTTAGGCAACCATTTTGGTCGAGCGGTGCCACCCTCCTCTCTGGCGGGAGGAGGTCAAAAGACGGGCGACCGATCGTGAACTTCCTCGCAGTGGGGTCTCGAGGGGTCGTCATATACACGACGATCAACCAAGAGGGTGAGCCGGATGATTCCGTGCACGTTCTACGGAGATGGGTCACCATCTTGCACGGTTTCAGGTTTGGTGGCCCACAGCGGGTCAATGCTATATGCACTGACTCTGCTTCTGCGTACGCGGGGGTTGCGAGGGCTTTGGCCGACGCAGCTATGCCCCCCGAGCTGCGGAGGATTACTTGGTTCCCGTGCTCCGTCCATGTCTACAACAAGTAGTTGTCAGACATTGGCACGATCTACACCTCTTTTGTGGACACGATCACACGTGCCCGAGTTCTGGTGGTGTTTTTCAAAACCCACCACACCGCTCTTAGCTTCTTCTGGAGGCGCACAGGAGGAGCTTTGGGGCTCGTACTTTCATGTGAGACGCGATTTGCGTATGTGTACTCCATGTTGGAGAGGCTGCTGGCTCTGCTGGATCGTTTGCAGGGCATGATGAGAGGGGAGGATGGGCGGGCTTGGGCTAGGATCCCGTGGTCGCGCGACGTCTGTGACATGGTGCGTTGGGTGCGCCGCCAGATCAGGTGGTCCCCTTGGTGGGAGACGATGCGGACCATCTTACACGTCATGGAGCCCGTCATGGAGTTGTTGTGGCGGATGGATCCTGGCGGCCAATTCATGTCCCTCGTCGTTCAGTGGACTCTGGATCTTGCACGCCTCGTGCGGGACGCTTGCGCACCTCTCGGCCACTCGTTTTCTGACCGTGTGATGAGGTGTGTGCAGGCCCGTATTCAACACATGATGGAGCCTGCACACTGTGCGGCGTTCTTACTGAACCCCCGTCGACGGGATGTTCAGTACTTCTCATCTCAGCTCGACGAGTACCACACATGGTTTGTTCGACACGCCAAGAGGTATCTATTGTCTCAGACTGGCTTCGACGTGGAGGATGCTTTCTACCTTAAGGTATGTCGGCAGTTCGAGGACTTCCACATGCAGCAGGGTAGGTATGGGAGTTGGGGCGGGGGAGAGGGCCGCGCTCGGGCGCGTACTTGCAGCGGGGACTGCGAGACGATGGAGTGTGCGTCCTGGTGGTCTCAGTACGGGGGAGACTAGCCTAAGTTACAGTATTGCGCCCTTCGTTTGATGCATATGTGGTCCTGCGCCTCTCCAGCGGAGAGGAACTGGGCGGTCCACGAGGGCATCCACACGAAGAAGCGCAATCAGTTGGCCTTCGAGAAGGTCGTCCATCTTGTCGAGATCACCGCAAATGTGAGGTTGATGGAGTACAGATGTGCAAGTTGTGGGTACGTTCTCCCTTGGGAGCGAGACGAGGGTATGCTCGATGCTCAAGCGGGCATAGAGCTGGACCCCGTGCGTTCGGGGATGAGAAGCTCGATGATGCAAGAGGAGATCGAGGAGCAGGCTGCCCTCATTTCGCGCGATCCCATTGGGTCCTCTGCGCCGCCCCAAGCAGAGTCTGTTTTCGATGCTCGTGCAGCTATCTTCCAGCCATACCCCAGGGATGATGCCTCTGGGGACGAGAGGGAGCGGGAATGTGCGGAGGACCCCGCGCTTCCCATCCCGCGGAGATTAACGAGTTGCACGAGGAGGGCGGCGACTCGCACGAGGGGGCAGAGCGGCCGCACACCGTGCAAGGGGGGGGGGATTTCGGGGGCGTAGAGGCGAGATCACCCACTCTCGAGCGAGAGCATACGCCTGCTCCTACCGCCATAGTGCGGGAACAGACGACTGTTTCGGCGACCGCGCAGCAGCAGGCTCCTGCTCCTACGAGGACGCGCGAGCGGACGAGTACTCACGCGACGGAGTCCGGACCTTTATCGCAGTTGCATCTTCCTCGTCATTCAGTAGCATCGTTCGCCGAGACTGCTTCCATAGGGCATGTTGAGCGCTCACCAGCAGCGGTTAGGAGCTACGTGGCACCCTAGACCGCGGCCGCAGGATCCGAGTCCGCGGCCAGGATCCTACGCCGCAGGCCCGCGGCCTAGGCCGCGCGGCCGTGCCACACGCAGGCGGGCGCGCACCCTCAAAATCCCCGCGCGCGGTTGGCCTGCGCACGTCGACCGCCCTCGAAAATTTGGGGGGGGGTGATTTTTGATATGTTAAAAAAAAATTAAAAAAATAAAAAAAACAAATTAGATTGATTGATTGATTGATTGATTGATTGATTGATGATTGATTGATTGATTGATCGATGATTGATTGATTGATTGATTGATTGATTGATGATTGATTGATTGATTGATTGATTAATTGATTGATTGATTGATTGATTGATTAATTGATCGATTGATTTTTTTTTTTTGATTGATTCATTGATTGGTTGGTTGGTTGGGGGAAGGTCGCCCATCACCTCCC